TCTAACAAAGGAGAATATTTGTAGCTCAGGGTTGAAATGAGGGGTCCTTGGTGGTCTCTGAGCTTGGTTGTTTTCTTGCAGACGTTTCATTACCCAAACTAGATAACATCATCAGTATTAATAATAATAATAATAGTAAAGTTGGAAGGGACCTTGAAGGTCATCTAGTCCAACCCCCTGCTCAGTCAGGAAACCCTGTACCATTTCAGACAAATGGCTGTCCAGTCTCTTCTTAAAAACTTCCAGTGTTGGAGCATTCACAACTTCTGGAGGCAGGTTGTTCCACTGATTCATTGTTCTCAGCATCAGGAAGTTTCTCCTTAGTTCTAGGTTGCTTCTCTCCTTGATTAGTTTCCACCCGTTGCTTCTTGTCCTGCCTTCAGGCGCTTTGGAGAATAGCTTGACTCCCTCTTCTTTATGGCAACCCCTGAGATATTGGAACACTGCTATCATGTCCCCCCTCGTCCTTCTCTTCGTTAAACTAGACATACCCAATTCCAGCAGCCGTTCCTTATATGCTTTAGCCTCCANCCTTTCTTCTCTCTCTCTCTCTCTCCTTTTTTTGGAGGGGGGGGGTCGGTGGCTCGCTTCGCCCGGCCTCCCCTTCCCGCTCTTTCCAGGCACGCGGAAAGGCGCCCCCGCAGCCCCCGCCGGCCAGAAGGTCGTCCCTTCTCCTCTCCGTGGCGCGCGCGGGGACGGACACCCCGGCCGGCGCGCCCCCGCCGAGCGCACCAGGCGAGCCTAGGGGGGGGGGTGGAGGCAGGCAGGCAGGCAGCGGGAGGAGAGGCCCTTTCTTCGCCCGGGAAAAGCGGGTGCGGGGGAGAGAACGCCGGCCGAGCGGGAAGGGGGAAGGGGAGAACCGGTAGCCGGCCTCTGCATTCCTTCCTCGCCCCCCCCCCCCCCATTCCGCCTCTTTGTATTCGGTGCCTTTTCTCTGCGGGCGAAGCGCCGCTGAGTTGCGGGCTGCGCAAAGCCGAGGGGCACAAGGAGAGCGCTGGGCAGCCGGGGGGGGGGAGTCCCCTCCGAGGAGCTAGAAATGGTGTGTGTGTGTGTGTGTGTGTGGAAGAGGGGGGCCTTGTGAGCCGAGTGTGCAAAGGCAGTGTGCAAAAATGCAGGAAACCGGGCCCGCCGGTTAGAGTTTGGTGGGTGTGTGTGGGGGGGATAAAGCTGAATTGATCTAAAAGCTAAAGCCATATTTTAGCTGCTCGATGGAGAAAGGGGGGGGGCGAGTCTTGGGCAGAGTTTGCCCCCCCCGGGGGGGTGTTTGAAGAAGGGGAAGAAGAATAACAGAACACAAAGGCCGTGTTGGTTAATTGTGTTGGTTTTATGGTGGGTATCTTTCTGTTATTTCCTCCATGGTTCGCAACTGTCTTAAGTGGCTGCCTTGTATTAACAACAACATCATCAAAAAGTGAGGTCTGACATCAGGAATAAATTTTTAAAAAAATGGCAACTTTTGTCTTTACAACTCTCTCCCTGTTGAAGTGTATTACATGCAATTAAATGTACTAATATAGGTTTTAAAAAGGCCCAAACTGTGCCTTCTGACAATCTTTATCTCCCCAAGAGATATGATGATGATGATGATAATAATAATAATAATAATAATAATAATAATAATAATAATAATAATAATAATAATAATAATAATAATAATAATAATAATGAAGTTGAAAGATACCTTGGAGGTCCTCTAGTCCAACCCCCTGCTCAGGCAGGAAACCCTATACCATGTCAGACAAATGGCTGTCCAGTTTCTTCCTAAAAACTTCCAGTGTTGGAGCATTCACAACTTCTGGAGGCAGGTTGTTCCACTGGTTAATTGTTCTAAACTGTCAGGAATTTTTTCCTTAGTTCTAGGTTTCTAGAACTTATTCCTTTTTGCCTACCACTAACATTAAAACCTCAGGTCCAAAATGTTTTTGCCTGCTGTGAACCTCTAATGAATTGGTGAGATTTCCTTGTGATTGTGGTATGGGTAACTAAATTTGCAGAGGTAATTGTCAACCATTGATTGCTCGTCTTCACTCTAAATCATTTGGCGGGAAAGAAAGCACAAAACAACTAAAGCAAGCAGATGTAACCTACTTGTGTGTAAAACTCATCAGTAAGTGGGCAAAAGGCCAACATAATCTGTGACGGGTGGAATCAAGATCACAAGGGTTAGTACTGCTTTATAAGGCCTTGGTAAGACCACACTTGGAATACTGCTTCCAGTTTTGGTCACCACGTTATAAAAAAGTTGTTGAGACTCTAGAAAGAGTGCAGAGAAGAGCAACAAAGATGATTAGGGGTCTGGAGGCTAAAAAATATGAAGACCGGTTGCAGGAATTGGGTATGTCTAGTTTAAGGAAGAGAAGGACGAGGGGAAACATGATAGCAGTCTTCCAATATCTCTGGCTGCCACAAGGAAAAGAGGGAGTCATGCTATTCCCCAAAGTCCCTGAAGGCAAGACAAGAAGGAACGGAGGGAAACTAATCAAGGAGAGAAGCAACCTGGAATTAAGGAGAAATTTCCTGAAAGTGAGAACAATTAACCAGTGGAACAACCTGCCTCCAGAAGCTGTGAATGCTCCAACACTGGAGGTTTTTAAGAAGAGATTGGACAATCAATGGTATAGGACCGTAGTGGCGAATCTATGGCACGTGTGCCAGACATGGCGCACTCAGCCCTCTCTATGGGCACGCGCACCGTTGCCCCAGCCCCACCTTCCCCTACGGCCCCCTCCACACCAGCAGCTGCCCGGAGGAGAATCACCCCGGGGTGTGGCCAGCATGCAGCAGCGCAGCCAATGACATGGCAGCCGGGCAGCGGGAACAAGACTCCGCCCTTGCGCCCCGTCACATGCAGATGATGCTGTGGGGCGCAGGCGGAGGGTGTGGCTGCCATGGCACTGCAGGACTGCCTGGGTGATCTGCGATGGGCCATGGAGGTGGTAGGTGGCCCTGCGGGCTGGCAGAGTGGGACGGGGAGGCAGGTGAGCGGAAGCGGGGGCAGGTTGGTTTTGGGGCACTCGGCGTCTAAAAGGTTCGCCATCACTGGTATAGGATCTCCTGCTTGAGCAAAGGGTTGAGCTAGATGACCTCCAAGGTCCCTTCCAACTCTGTTGTTCTGTTAAAACCTGGGATGATGCACTGAGGCGGTTACATAGGAAATATCTCACATACACCCCCACTGTCCAAAAAAACACAAAATCCCAAACATAGGCTCAGACAACACGAAGAACCCAACATGTACCATTAAGCAGTACGGTAAATTTTGTTTTTCCCTGGGTGGCATCTTTAACATAGAACAAAATGGTTGCTGTCATTGAAGCTGGTTTGTTTATTGCAGTTTTGCGTGAAGCTTAAGCCTTTTGGTATTTTAAAATCTTTTATGCTGTTGTGATTTTTAATTTTTATTTGCTGAAATGCATACATTGTAAAGCCACTCAAGAGCCTTCAGAACTGGGAGGTGCATCGGACTGTTTTTTTAAAAATAAAACGATGCACCTCAGTTTTACTTCATTTATTAAAAGACATAAATGCATTTTAATCAATCACTCAATCTCTGGAACTTTGGGAATGGTCTTATATATTTAATGCTCCTTCTGAATGTTAATGGCTGGAAGGTTAACTTATTCACATCAGCAAGTAGTAGATTTAGAAGAAGTTTTTCTAGTTTTATATGAAAAAGATGTCTGTTTCTTGAACCTCTTGAACCCCACTACTACACTATAGCTACTTAGTAAAAGTGGAGACGTGTTCATTGTTGATCCCTTCCTAACTGCCAAACAATTAAAATGCCTGTAATTAATTAATTAAAACATAATTAAATCTGTTGAATATTTTACACACTAAACCCTTTGACTGCTTTGCAAAAAAAAAAAGTGAGGGACACAATTGTTTGGCATTCAGAAGGCTTCCATGTGTGATTCAGTTGTTTCGTTGCTTCTAATTTAATTAAACGGATAAATCTTACCAAAAATGAACAGAGCAAACTTTTGCAGAATATAGTTCTAACAAAGGAGAATATTTGTAGCTCAGGGTTGAAATGAGGGGTCCTTGGTGCTCTCTGAGCTTGGTTGTTTTCTTGCAGACGTTTCATTACCCAAACTAGGTAACATCATCGGTGCTAGTCCTGATGAACCAATTTTATGAACTAGGAATATAGTTCATAGCTTAATCATGTCATGAATAATCCGTCTTTACAACGTACCATACCAAAAGAGGTTTAGTCTTGCCAAGAGTATGCATAGGTGTATAAAAGATTTAGACCAGGCTGATAACTGAATTTAGGAACGGGGAACATTTGTTAACTGAATAACAAGAGTTGGAAGGGACCTCCGAGGTCTTCTAGTCCAGCCCCCTGCTCAAGCAGGAGACCCTATACCAGTGGTGGCAAACCTATGGCACGTGTACCAGAGGCGGCACTCAGAGCCCTCTCTGTGGGCATGTGCGCTGTCGCCCCAGCCCCACCTCCCCATGGCCCCCTCCTCACCAGCAGCCCCCCCCCGGAGGAGTCACCCCAGGGCGCAGCCTGTGCAGAGCAGCGCAGCCAAAGACATGGCAGCTGGGCAGTGGGAACAAGACTCCGCCCTTGTGCCCCGTCGCACGCAGATGCTGCTGCAGGGTGCAGGCAGAGTGCGTGGCTGCCATGGTGCTGCTGGGCCACCTGGGTGATTGGCGGGCCGTGGAGTTGATGGGTGACCCGGCAGGTGAGGTGGGGACGGGGTGGGGATGGGAAGAGGGGCGGTAGCGGGGCGATTTATGGGCACTTGGCCTTCTAAAAGGTTCTCCATCATCACTCCTATACTATTTCAGACAAGTTGCTGTCCAGTCCTTTTCTTAAAAGCCTCCCATGATGGGGGACCCACAACTACTGGAGGCAAGCTGTTCCACTGGTTAATTCTTCTCACTTTCAGGAAATTTCTCCTTAGTTCTAGGTTGCGGCTCTCCTTGATTAGTTTCCATCCATTGTTTCTTGTCCTCCCTTCTGGTCCTTTGGAAAAATGGTTTACCTCTTTGCGGCAGTCTGTCAAATACTGGAATACTGCTATCATGTTGCCCCTAGTCCTTGCTTTTCTGTAAACTAGCCATACCCAATTCCTGCAACCGTTCTTCATATGTTTCAGCCTCCAGTCCCCTAATCCTCTTTGTTGCTCTTCTTTGCACTTTTTCCCCAAAGTCTCAACATCTTTTTTATAATGTGGTGACCAAAACTGGATGCAGGATTCCCTTCACAATTCTCTTTAAGCATTAATTGAACCTAGAAATATTATTATTTTTTTCACGTAGTGGTGAATGGATTCCAGCAGAGGTCTCTCTTGACCAACAACTGCACTCTGTTGAGCAGCTGGAAAGGTGAAATCTGCCTTCTATTCTTTACACTGGCGGTGAAGTTGGCTTAAGCAATTTCCCAGCAAGGAATGTAAATGGGATGAGCTATCCAGGTCCTTTACAAATGGTTTGGAGGGAGCAAAGAATGTTAGAATGGGAACAGGAAAGGAAGAAGAGGAATGTTGATAGCATTTGCCTGCCCTTTAAAGTTTAGAATACCAAGCTTGCTCTGTTATTCTCTCATGGACTGTTAACTTCAGAGATCAAACTAGACAGTCTGGTGTAATGGTTAAGGCATCAGGCTAGAAACTGGGAGGCCATCAGTTCTAATCCCACCTTAGCTATAATATCCAGCTGGATGGCTTTGGGCCAGTCACTCACTCTCAGCCCTAGGAAGAAAGCAATAGCAAATTACTTCTAAAATCTTGTCAAGATGTCTGCAGAGACACATCCAGGTAGTTATCAGGAGGCAAAAACTGACTCAAAAGCATCCTGTATTTCAGTGTGCCTCATATTTCAATCAATCAATCAATCAATCAATCAGAATAGAGCTGGAAGGGGCCTTGGAGGTCTTCTAGTCCAACTCCTCCTGCTCAAGCAGGAGACCCCATACCAGACATGTCAAACTCGTGACGTTGCGCAACGTATTGGGCCAGTTTTGCCATTGGCGGTAATGGGGTAGGCACGGCTTCCAGATGATGCATCCAGCCCTGGGCCGGCAATTTGACACCCCTGCCCTATACCATTTGAGACAAGTGACTGTCCAGTCTCTTCTTAAAAACCTCCAGTGATGAAGCACCCACAACTTCTGAGGGCAAGCTGTTCCACTGGTTAATTGTCTCCACCATCAGGAACTTTTCTCCTTAATTCCAGGTCGCTTCTCTCCTTGATTGGTTTCCACCCATTGCTTCTTGTCTTGCCTTCTGGTGCTCTGGAAAATAAGTTGACCCCCTCTTCTTCGTGGCAGCCCCTCAGATACTGGAACACTGCTATCATGTCACTCCCAGTCCTCCTTTTCTCTCTAGACTGGCCGTACTCAGGTCCTGCAACCGTTCAGATTGTAGCGGGCCAAGAAAAGAAAGGGTTAAACCTATTTCCAACTGTTGTATTTACCAGTATACAATGGCTGAGAAAGCTGACAACTGCTTTAGATTTTTTTTCCTTCTCTTTGCTGGGGGAAAAAAGGAAGCTACAAAAATGAACTCCTTGTGGGTACCAAACAAAGGAGATTTACTTTTGTCTGGAGAAGGGGAAAAAAAACTGCTTTCTGTGTTTCTAGGATCAGAAGCAACCTGCCACATGGGAAGGAATTGTAAAACAAGCAGGCGTGGGGTTTGGAAGTAGCTGGACACATGTAAGACAAGAGCTTCAGGACCATGGAAGAAATGCTCAGGGATATGTAGGGCTTCCCTGCTCAGACCTGGGCTACCCAAATAAGATTTTCTTTGAGCATTTTGGGCATTAACACCCAGAAAGGATGCAGATTAGAATAAAATTCTTCATTAAGCTCACGCTTAATAAAGTGAGATGCAAATGAGGATAATTCTGTTATTCTTTCTATGATCATTGTGTATCCATCCCAACAAACCCAAAGAAAGTCTGGAATGGTATAGGCCAGGGGTAGGCAACCTTGGCTCTTTTATGACTCATGGACTTCAACTCCCAGAATTCCTGAGCAGTCTACGCCAAGGTTACCTACCCCTGGTATAGGCACCCCCTGCCCTGGAGAGGGGTTGGACTAGAAGATCTCCAAGGTCCCTTCCCACCCTATTATTCTATGTTCTAAATCATGGTATGTGTTGGAGTAGATATAGGATCCATTGTTCTGTCCTGGAGTATGGCTAACCTTCCTATTGTTGCAAAGAACATTTTTTTTGACATTCCCAGTTTCTGCAACTGTATTACGGTTGATTGTACTCCCTTCTTCCAATTTTTGCAACAACTGTGTGAGGTAGCTAGGACACACAGAGAGAAACTGGCTCAAAGTCTCCCCCAGTCTTGACTCAACATCTTTACCACTGTGCTATGGTCTCTGGATTTCCAACGTGCCAACACAGCAATTTTCTTTTAAAATGTATCATCCCTCCTTTTTTTCCTTTCTTATTTTCACTTTTAATCTTGAAAATATCTAAGGACAGACCGGGAAACCTTTTAATGAATTTCTCCATTTGATCTTCCACGCCGCCTCTCCAATAAAGTCTCTGCACTCCTAATTCATTGCGACATGTGTTGGTTGTTTGAATTTACATGGGAATGTTTGCAATCCAGATTCACCCTGTGCCCCGGTGACTGTTCGCTCAAGTTACGGCCTGTAAAGCTATGCCTGCAGTCATGCTCATCCTTCAGATTAGCTTGCGTGATTAAATAGGAACGCCATTTCTTCTCCAGCCTCCCACCTCCACCTTCTCCATGTCAGTTTCATTTCCTTGGGACATTGTTGACAAAAAAAAAAAAGTAAGAGGGGGGTATGAAAAATGGTAGAGGAGGAGGTACTGCACAGTAAAGACAGGGTTGCTTAAATTCTTTACATTCCAAAGCAGAGTTGGCAGCCTTATAGCAGGCAGAAATTGTATTTTATTTTTCTACGTACAAAGTTAGGGATTGAATTAAATGTCATGCAGAAGAACTTCCTTGTTGAAGTCCACAAGTCCTAAAAGGGCCAAGATTGAAGACCCCTGCCTCAGAATAGAGTTCCTGCTTGTTCGTTGAACCCCAAAACCAATCTAAATGCTACTTAAACCTCTAAATATCTTACCAGCTTTAAAGCAAAGGATTGCCTCTTTCTATTCCATCTTACTTGGCTCTCTAGATCAGGGGGTCTCCAAACGAGGCCAACTTGTGGACTTCAAATCCCAGAATTCCTCAGCAGCAGTTATCAGAATTCTGGGAGTTGAGGTCCACAAGTTGCCAAGTTTGGAAACTCCTGCTCTAATTTGATAAGCCATTAGGGTTGCCAGGTCTGCTTCCAAAAAATAGCGGACAAGTGGGGGTTAAGTAGTAAAAAAAGTAGACTGTACAGCTTTAGATTACGTACCATTTCATCATAAAGCTTTTGAATAAAAAAATGTCCACTATTTTGTGAAAAAAAATAGTGAACATAATGTGAAAAAAGTGGACTGTCCACTCAAATAGTGGACACCTGGCAACCCTATAAGCCATTCTGTTCTTTCTCTCACTAACCAAGATGCAGAGGCCACCTAGCAGAGAGACCTTCTTGATGATAACTCCCAACACGTGGACCACTCTGAACAATATTCATCCATGTCCCTCACTTCCATTTGCAGTGTGGCTTGAATCTGGCTAGGATCAACCGAGAGACAGTGTTATACATTTTTATTAACACATAAAAATTCTGGAGAAATACAAAACAGCATTACTTTGGCAGAATAGTGAGGATTCAGAAGACGGGAGCAATACAACTTTCACTTACAACACCCATTTCTTTCATTGCATTAAAAAAACAATCTTAAAAATGAAGTAAGCACATTTACAAGAACATCAACAACTGGGCGAATTAAAAAGGAGAGTTGAAATCCATGGAAAAAGATGTGGTGGGCTTGAATTCTATGTCTAGCTACCCTGACCTCAGTTGGGTGGTGCACATGGCAGTGCAATATGGCCTTTAGAAGTTGCAACATGGGAGCTGAGGCCCCAATACTCTTTAGAGTATGCGATTCAGTAAGGCTGGAATAAAGGAGAAAGTTTTAGTTTTAATCATGAATCAACATGGGGGGTTAGATTGTCCTAACTGTCTTTCAACCAAAACTCATTCCCAGAAAAAAGGAATCCAGCTTTGAAATGAAACACCTACGTTTGTAGACGATAAGACAAAACAAAATGTTTAATTATTCAGATTTATTCTGTTCCTATCTTTTTCCTCTGGGTGATTCCTTTATTTGTCCATCCATCAGCTTAGGAGAACAATGCAGGTTGGAATCTGTCCAACTTCTCTTCAGTGCTACAGACAAACTCAAAACTACGCTTGAGTATGTAGTTACACTCAACTTACACTGTTCCCTTGGATCTGTTCACTAACCTCTAAGACTGTAGGTCGAGTATCTGCTAAAGCAGGGGTCTTCAAACTTGGCCCTTTTATGACTTGTGGACTTCAACTCCCAGAATTCTGGCTGAGGAATTCTGGGAGTTGAAGTCCACAAGTCATAAAAAGGCCAAGTTTGAAGATCCCTGTGCTAAAGCAACAGTTCTCCCCACCAAAGATTCACCCCAATTCCCCTTTTCACAGATTGAGAATTGCCAAATTGTTTTTTGTGGGTCATCTTCATCTTGACAATGAGCCTTTTTCCCCTGAGATTATTATTATTATTATTATTTAGGTATGCTTGGTGCATGGCACAGCTAAGCCCTATTTACAGCTCAGCAGTTTATCTGGGAATGCTTTATTTAGTCTGTGAGCACTGATAAAACATCTGGGCATACTTGGCATAGTTAAACGTAGGAATGGCATCAACTTGGCCATTACTCATTCTATTCAAACTGGCTTACTACATCTTCAGGCCACTTTCTGGGAATGCTGTCAAGGTTTATGAACAGGATTCATACCACTTGAGCTTTCCTGAGCAATTCCTGAGACTTCCTTTTTGTTCTCTTGCAGGACGGAAGGTCTAAAATACGAAAGAATCCACAGTCTGCTTCTTTTTTTAGATTTAGATTTTAAATTTTTTAGAGACTTGCCAACTTTATTAATCTTGTTGCAAGTCACAAGTCTTCTTCCTTGTCCTCTGCTAACCTGGCTTATTCATGGGTTGGTTTACAACTCATTCTATTCAACCTTTATATAAATATCAATGCTGCTGCAACATTATAATCTTCAAGTTTTGGATGAATTTCCATCCAAAGCACGCAAAACAGTCTCCGGATTTAAGTATATTGGGTCCACATGAAAAACTAGAGATGTTCAACCATGAAAACTTTTAAGACCTATGGAATTCTGGGAGTTGAAGTGCACAAGTCTTAAAGTCACCAAGGTTGGACAACCCTGCTCTAAACCATTGTTCTCTCTTATCCAGTCTTCAAAATCCCATTTTGAAATCAGTGCACAAATCCAATTTGGTTTGAAGGAGTCCGTTTATAATTGATGGTTTCTTTGGAAATTGGTGATATAAACGGTCCTCTCCCTTATGACTCTGGAGCTGCCACCCAATCTAACTTAGCCATTAAAAAAGAAGAAGCTTGGACTCTAGCAACAATAAACTGGGTCTGCAACCTTTACACCCCAGAGCAACAATAATGCAACTGGGTTTATGGGACAGAACACACTCTGTGGCTTAGAATAAATTAATCGCTGGGATATGTCAGTATCCAAGATAGATAACTTGCCCTGTTTATCTTATCTGCAATGTAAAAACTATTTTTGTTTATTTTAATATTAGTCAGACATTACACAACAGCAACAACAACAAATAACAGATTTTTGAATGTAGCAAGCTGCAAAACTCTGGGGAGGAGAGAGATCCCATGTCAAAGAAACAAACAAACCAAAAAAGAATTTGAAATCATTTTGGTATCGTATGTACCCTAATGTGCATTTGGCATCATGCTTGCTGAATACAATGGATCAACCTATGATATAAATATGTATCACTCAGAGGCTTAGTGATAAAAAAACAACACACCTTTGAATTCCTTTCCCTGTTCATAGTTATTTCACGTTTACACCTGCCATACACAACCACAGTAGTAATCCTATCGCCTGACTGAAAATTAAATAGAACAAAAGCGTTCTTTAAATAAAATGTAAGACCAATGTCATTAAGTGTGCATAAGACGTAACAACCATACTGATATGCATAATGACCAGGATGTGGAATATTATTCATTTATACTAAATAATGTGGTAATACAAAACAGAACATCATCAAAGTCAGTGGATGATTCTAATTGAATGTGTAATGAAATATTGATCTTCTGCCCAGTCCACTATTGTACATCAACACAATAGACAGATATCCATTCATATTCATAGATCTTCCCGCTTTAATTTCACATCGCTTCCTGCCAAATTCTGGAAAACATCGAATACATTTTTTCCCCAGGATTTAATTTTTCTCAGTGTAGCAATAAAAAAAAAAGTGCAGTAAAATTATACATTGCATTTCAAAATGTCCTACATGTGGTTCAAAATCTTTGAATGCATCTCAGGTTTTGCTGGTCCTGTATATAATTCATGCCGATGCGCTCAAAAGTTAATGGAGAGTCTTTCCAATTTTTTTTAAAAAAAAATAGAACTTGAATTGTTTCCAGGGTTTGTTTCCTTGCAAAAAAAAAAAAAAAAGGGTTGCTTGGAAGTAAGTTTCAAGAGACACCCAAGAACTGCTGAGTGGCTTTAGTATCTGGCAGTTCATAGGTCCATCTTGAAGCCGACTCTGTTCTTCACATAGACAAGAATGTGGCAAGAAAAGTAGACAAGCCACGGTGCAGAACAGAACCCAACAATGGGTCTTCAAATAGAATTTCCCCTGCCACCAAGAAATCCAGAATCAAATGCTACAGTTTTTTTTTAAATCTGCCACCTGTCTGTTCCCAGGCATAAAATAATAAATTATGGGAAAATCACATTAATTTAATACTGACAAGTCAGCTGGAAGGAGAAGCTACACATTAAAACAAAGACAGGACAGGTGCTGAAAGTGGCATTTGGGTGTCAAACGCAAAACGTTGGTGTCAGAAGCCGGTCTTAGTTTTAGAACAAGAGTTTATAATAAGAGTGAAGAGGGGGGGGGAAACAAACCTGACTTGGGGGTATCATTTTCTACGCTAGCTTTGTATCTCTTTATTATATCGGCGTCAACGTTTACAGCATGAAAAACCTAACCCATTGGGTGGGTGCATCTGAACAAGAATAGAATTGCACCTTCGATTTGGAACGGGGTACAAAAAAGCAAACAAATCACATCTCTTTCTAATGTTTAACAAAAGAAGAAAAGAAGAAGAAGAAGAAGAAGAAGAAGAAGAAGAAGAAGAAGAAGAAGAAGAAGAAGAAGAAGAAGAAGAAGAAGAAGAAGAAGAAGAAGAAGAAGAAGAAGAAGAAGAAGAAGAAGAAGAAGAAGAAGAAGAAGAAGAAGAAGAAGAAGAAATGATAAATAGAACACAACAGCAACTGCTCTGAAATACTGAGCTATGACAAGGGGCTATGGGTTGACCTGCTCAAGCTCTTGTGTAAATTGGGATTTTGGCTGTGCCGGTTCCTGCTACGAACGGACGAAAACATTGTGTTGCAACCTGGGATTTTGCATTTGTGCAGCTGACGGAGGTGCACCGTTTTGTAATGAGCTCGGAACGTTCCTTTATTACTGTAGCTTTTTTGGCAGAGGTGACAGGTTATTGGCAAGCTGGAAGGTGCAGTTGGGAAATTCGTGGTAGGGGCCTCCACCGGACAACAGTCTTGGTAAAGCTCTTCATTGGGCATCAAACACAGACTTTCACAGCTTTCGTTGCTGTCCTCTAAAGCCTCTGGACTTTCTTCATTGCCTCCATCCGAATCCCAGGAAGAGTGAGTCCCACTCTCTGACTTAATGCTAGACGTGGTGCTTAAATCCAGAATCGCTCCCTCGTTGGGGTTATGCCCACAGCTCTCGGGACAGGGTTCTGCGAACTTGCTCATCGGGAAAACCAAGCTGCCAGTTCTGTTTGTGCCTTTGAAAATGACCGACGTGTGTTGCTCCATGTGTCCTTTCAAGCAAGCTTCCGGGCAAACGTCTTGGGCCATGTCCTTCAAGAGATCGATTGCGTTGAAATGATCCTTGCCGATGTCCAAAGGATCTTTCGTTAAAAGTTTATGGTGAAGGTTTAAATTGGAGCTGTGTCTGGAGAAAAAGGAATATCTAGAGTTAAAAAAAGAGGCGCAGGGAAGCTTCCCGTTTAGAAAATAATAATAATAAGAAGAAGAATTAAACTATTTTGAAAGAAGTGGAATGGGAGAAGAATGGGATGTGTGGAGCTGTTCACAAGAACGCTGTGCCAGTTAGAAGCACATCACAGGGGTAGGCCTTGTAGGAATCAGAAAACCAGAGAAAATACAAACTAGGATAGGAATACAGAATTTGCATTAAAGATTGGGTAGTTGTAATCGACTTACAACCATTTGTTTACTGACTGTTCAAAGATACAACAGAAAACAGTGACTTATGACCGTTTTTCACACTTACGACCATTGTAGCATCCCCATGATCACGTGATTGAAATTTGCACACTTGGCAATCATGTATTTATGAGGGCTGCAGTGTCCCAGGGTTGTGTGATCCCCTTTTGAAACCAAAATTAATGTTTGAACAATCAGTAAACGAATGGTTGTAAGTCAAAGACTATCTGTATTCTTCCTAAACCTCCCAAGATAAAAAGAGGCCAGACTTTGGTTATTGGATATTAGAATGGCATGATAGAAATGGTTACAGCAATAGAAAGAATAAAAATACAGAGGAATCTTCCACTGTGGTTTCTGGAAAGACATTATTGTTTATTCTTACTTTATAACATTGAGAGAAAACCTGGCAAGGAAAAAAGAACCCCCATAACATTGCTTCCCAATAGATTATTTAAAAAAACACAACAACAACATAAGATGGAATACGAAGTGGTACCTAACCCCCTTCATCTCTCTTAAAAATGGATTTCTTTTCCATTCTCATAGTCTATAGCAGGGATAGGCAACCTTGGCTCTTTTATGACTCGTGGACTTCAACTCCCAGAATTCCTGAGCCAGCATGCCTCAGCTTGGAAACCTCTCCCTTCCCCTCAGCGTGGCTGGCTCAGGAATTCTGGGAGTTGAAGTCCACGAGTCATAAAAGAGCCAAGGTTGCCTACCCCTGGTCTATAGCAACAATACGACCACCTTTTTGACTTCTGAAAAGCGGAGTTTGCTTCAATGGATTTTCATTTTAGTACCATTCTGACAAATGGGTGTAATAGGCCAGTAAAGCAGGCATGGCAGATTGTTGCATTCCCCCCAAAACATAAAAGAAACTCTCTTGTGTAAACCAGTTTACTTTAAACACACACAGCTATTTTCGCCCAACACATCCTTACCTGTCTCGGCTCCTACGCGAGGGAAAAGCAGCATTGCAACCCTCCACAACGCAAGTGTGCATTTCTTTTAGATGCACATTTTTAAAATGCATTTTTACACTGTAAGGGTTTTTAAAGGTCTTCAGGCAGATGTCGCAATGGAAGCCGGCGTCTTCCTGCGAGAGCCCTAGGGCCTGGGGATGGCCGTGATCCGTATTGTTACACGCTTCAAAGCCAGGAACAGCCATACTCCGGTTGGATAGCGCACCGAAACTGCTTCCACTCAACAAGTGGTAATGCAGTTCAGGCCAGTTGTTCATTGGGATCCTGTAATTCAATGGTTCTTCTCTAAGGTAGCTGTAGGGCTCAGTTGCTGCTTTGGTCACATCATGGTGTTGGTTGGGTGCTTTGTGTGCATTTTCACAAGAGGCCATTCTTAGCGATTTGTCTTGATCTGGCTTATGCAGTTTGTCCGTTTCAGTGCATTGGTTATTTGTCTTGATAGCCTGCAAAGTTTTGAGCCCTGCAGCCTTGGGAATGGATGTCCCCAACGTCTCTCCATGTTTCTCCATGAGATGGTTCGTATTTTTTTCTATCCTAGACACCCCCATCTCCACAGGCCCTTCACTTACCGCCTTTGGCGTCCCATCATCTTCTGAACTGGCCACTTCATGAGTTGGGCTAGTGGTGTCAACGGCTTCTTTCTCTATCTTGATGGGCATGCTAGACTTACGGGATTTTTTCTTAGGCAACGGATCAAAGGGCAACTCACTGGACCCCTGTGGTTCAGGTACTGATGAGGAAACCAGAGGTAGAGAAGGAAGCGTACCTGGTGTGTGTGCAATTTCAGCTGGGGTGACCGGGCTGCGGTAGAAAGGAAGGACCGGTTGCACTGTCTTCAAATTGGGGAAAAGGACACCATTGTGTCCGCTATGGTGAAAACCTGGTTGGACTTTGGAATCGGTACCAGAACTCCCATAGATAGGAACTGATCTGTGGTCAGGAGGTAGAAGGGTAAAATCGGTCCTTTTGTTCTCCTCCAGACCTCGGATGGACAACCCGTTTCGGAGATCTTTATCTCGGTTGTTTCGGTTCATGGGCATGTGAAGTCTTGGGTTGGGATTGGCACTGTGACGGTTACGGCTCCTCAGCGAGCTGAACACCATGTTGCAGCCGTCAATAGTGCATTTGTGTTTGATTTTCAGATGGACCGCATTGTAGTGGATCTTCAGAGTGCCCTTATCATAAAAGGTCTTCTCGCACGCTGTACAGAAAACACGTCCTTTCCTTGTTCCAGCTCCATTTTTGTCAACTGACTTCATCTTACTTTCGGGAGATATCTGGCTTGTTTCTAGCTTTGAGGACACGGTTTGAGTTTTCACATTACTTGGTGACACGTCCTCTTTTGGTTTGAAAGTGAGATCCGGGCTGGCGGTCTCCTCCTTTTCTGGTTGAAACGACGGATTGGAAGTTAAGAAACTGTTTTCAGCAAATGGCACATAGTGGTCTGGTTTTAAATCCGGGCTGTGGTCTTGAGAGGACTCCATCAGGAGCCTCTCTGGGAGCGAACCAATCAGAGGTGGAGGAACGGGGCTATAAAACTGAAAGGGCAGCATAAACGCCATGTTGTTGACCACATTTTCAAAGTGATGGATGTGGATGGGGTGCATTTTGTCTAAAGAAGCAGAGAGGTTCGAGTTTCTCTGATTGCAGCTTTCGATAAAGGCTCTGATATCCATACTGGCTGTGGTGGTGGGGACGGTAATGGATTGCCCTTCTTTCTCATGAACGGCCATCAGCTCCACAATGGATTTGGTTTCCCCAAAACGCAGAAATTGCTGCAAGGTGGCCAGCTCCTCTTCGCTGCTCATGATACTCCAGTGATCCAGGACCTTTCCCGAAGCATCCTTCAAAAAGACAACAAACAACAGTAACAATACACTTGAAAGGGCAACATACTAGCAGCCTCAAAAGAAGATTGGTTAATTGAATTGGGTTGACTTCTCCAGGGTGACCGAAGGGAGAGATGTTCTGTTTAGTTTCTAACAAAAAGAGCACTCTCAATTGCCCTGTAAAATAGGAAAGAAACTAGACGTGGCTCTTATACTCAAGCTGTCTGCTCTTCTTCATTTATCTGGTCTACTTACTGCCCGACGTACCTGATTGTCAGAGTAGATCAGAAAGAGAAGTGAAGACAACTGGGGAGATCATGAGAAAGAAGAATTGGGAAACCACCTCTGTTCTTTCAATGGGAAACTTAAATAGACTTAAACTCTCAAGCTTCCTCCTTCCGTTATATATTCAAGATGGACAATATTTAATATTTATTTGCTACATATATGTAGGGGTGTGGGTCTATGCATATGTTGTTCATAGTATGTTTAGATGTGTGTCATGTATGTGTTTCGCTTTGAGAGAGGGCAACTAAATTTCATTTTTTATGTGTGCCATTGTGCCCACAGTATAAAAATGACAATAAAGGTTATCTTCTCTTATCTTATCTAAATAGCAATAGCACTTAGACTTATATACCGCTTCCCACTGTTTTACAGCCCTCTCTAAGCAGTTTACAGAGTCAGCATATTCCCCCAACAATCTGGGTCCTCATTTTACCGACCTCGGAAGGATAGAAGGCTGAGTCAACCTTGAGCTGGTGACTAACCACTGTGCCACCACGGCTCTGAAAACTTTAAAATGTGGCCCCCAAGTATATTGGAAATTACATTTTGCTCCTCTTTTTCTGCTTCCTCTTCCTTGTCAGTCACGGCTTTCAAAAATCAAGTTGCAAACTGCTTTGGAAGCCTTCATTTGTATATAGATTTGTTCAGTGTTTTTTTTCTAAAAAATAAAAAGGTGCCGGAACTCACACACGTCATACAACCCGCCTTGCCTACCCTACAAGGTTCCATCCAAAAAAGGTGCCGGAACTCCGTTCTGGGCATTCTATGAGAAAAAAAAGCCCTGGATTTGTTTCACCGAGCTGTTTCAAGAAATCCAGAAGAAAAAGGAACTAAAGGCTACCAATCAGACCAGGTCAAAAAAGGAGCCAGTTAACAACAGAGGTAGAGCTAAAACCAGAACTCTTCCTACTAGGTATTACCATACAAAAATATGATAAAGGGGCACTTTACCTAATGCTACACATTTTCACGGCCGCCAGACTGACCTATGCACAAAATTGGAGAAACAAAGAAATCCCTACTGAAGAAGAGATTCTACATAAAATTTTATTGTGTGCGGACATGGACAGGGTAACTATGGAACTAAAGGACAAGACAGAAACGGACTATTTTGGAATCTGGGACAAATTTTACTGCTGGTATGAGTCAAGAAGAACTGTTCGGGTTTTGAGTTAAAGTTTAAGTTTGTGGTATATAAAATTATATGTTAATATATAGAGAAACAAGCTCGAGATTGTATAATATTGTATTATATAGGGGAATATATATATATATAGAGAGAGATGTATATATAGAACTTTAAGTATGATAAGGAACGAATTGTTAGGATTATATATACTGGAACGTCATGTCATGTCCTTTTTTGTTTTAATTGTTTTATTAATAAAAAACTTTATAAAAAAAAAGGAGCCAGTTATCTGAGGAGCCAGTTTGGCCTCGGCTAGTTGCTGACACATAACCGATATACCTGTAGACAGGTAATTGCCGGCACCTTTGCAGCACGTTGTTCTCAGTTTTTCAATCACTTTGACCTGGATTCTTTCTACAGTTATCCTAACAGATGATTGAAGAGTGTTTTGTGATCCTCCCAATAATGTTAGGATACTTGTGATGGAACAAAACCCAAGTACAAGACTAAGGGAGTGGAGCGATCAAAAGAAGATTTAGCTTCACTTCTAAGTTGAATATTCTCTTTCTCTGCAAGTTTAATCATATTCTGCGCCAAGATCAGAGCACAAATGAACCCAAATCGATTCTTCTCCAGTTCACAGAGCACAGCTGTAATTACACCAGAGCGTTGGTGTAATTCTTTCAAAACTCCAACCCTACCAAACTTTCCCCCAATAACTACAATAAATATTTGATTACAGAACATGTATTTGATGGCCTACTGAGAAATTTCACCGGGCATGCGAGAGGTTTCTAAGACGGAACGTATCGTCATCAATTTTTCATGCACAAGAGGTTCAAGGTAATTGAGCCCGTTTTTTTTTTAAATCTTAACACTAAAAAGCAAGATTATTAAGTGGCATTAAATATTTATTTGGGGCATAATGTAAATCATACTTTACATTAAAGGAAGGAAGTAAAACGAGCAGAGAGGTGGGCAATGGGGATTGCGTTGAGTGGGCTTCTGAGGCAGGGTGAAATCTAAAAGGATGTCACTTGGGTCAATAATTATGCAATGAGCAGACATTTGGTAACAAGCCTCGGCCATCCTTCACTACCGCGGCTCTGATGCCAATCAGAATATTCATAGACTCTGCAGCAATTCAGCAAACAAAAGTGCTAAAACTTTGCAATCACCAATACAAGCAATCCTCAACTTATAAGTTGTAAGTCAAGATGGTCATAAAGCAGTCACCCATGTGACCGATCCAATTACACAACCTTTTTTGTGGCAGTCGTTAAGCGAGCCCATTGGGGTGTTTTTGCCCAAAATTAGAAGTAAACACTGGTTTTCAACAGAAAAGTCGTAAATTGGAAACGTTGCACCGCAAATGCACATCATCTCTAGCTACATTAACTCCTTGCACCAATCCTATTGGTCAATCCTCTGTATATTTTAATTTGCATAACTCTAGATAAAGGTCTTGCATTCCCACTTTTTTTAGGGTGCTTTGTATATCTCCACACTATAATAACATTTGTGTTTCGATGGGTGTAAGATGTAGTTCCATCCCTGTTATTCGAGAACTCTACGGTGATACGTTTCCTACATGTTCTGATATTTTAGTTTCCAGTTGACTCCATGCTGACTCCCATCCTATCAGCTTTTGTCTGTTAAGAAGAACCATGAATTTGATGCTTACCTGTAGAACGTAACCCCGTATGTAGTCCTGAAGTGTCCAGTCCAGAGCATGGAGGATGTGTACGACCTCTTCTTGCTTCAAGACACTGAAAAGACGATCTAGGAGAATTTTGAGTCGGACAGGAACGGCTTGAGTTCCATACAGCATGAGGCTGCTTATGTCAAAGACCACATTGGATTGGACGATTTCCACTTGGCTGGCTGGGTATAAATTTGGGATCCTTAGTTTACTTAAAGCTGAAAAGATGAAAAGAAAATGCAGCCACCGATGAATAATTGGGTACAAAATAATCACACTAGCAATAATGGTTCAGCAACTAGGGATTGTTATTCATCGGATCGTTCAGTAATTAATGCTTTAACAGCCATTCCAACGTCATTCCCTATCATTCTGACCAATTAGAAACTTCTGACCTAGGATTGGCTTTATATATTTATCTAATTGTACTACTAGCGGACAGCTAGACAATAGAGGTGTACAAATCAGTGAAATTTGATTCAATTTGGAAAGTAGATCTGATTTCATTTTCATCTGACTCCAGTCCTCAAATTGAACTTATTCAATTCGGACTTTTAAATAAATTTAGAAAAAAAAAATCTGTACATGCTTAAAGGCAAAAATCATTCAGAAGGATCAATTATACTGTTCAAACAGACTGGCCAATTTGCTTCAGACAACAGGGTTTGTAGATTTAATTGTCTACTGAAATTTACTTTTGACGTTTACTCCGGAAGAGTGTGTCTACGTAGTCGGGATAATGTTTCTTAAAGTAGTATTTAATGGATGGTACTCGATGGGTAGGTACGGCTGTAACCAGTGTGACCGCAACTAAATAAAAGGGTCAGAATTTTGTGACCGTCGATGTTGAAAGGTCTCACGTAGCCTACCGGACGTTTTAAAAAAAAAAAAAAACAGTTGCAAAAAACAAGAGTTTAGTCAAGATCTCATCAGAGCTTCACCCAACGCATAGTAGTAAATCTTTCTCTCTAGAAACTCAACCAATACTTGGGGGTCAACAGAAGAGTTGAGTACAAGATTCAGATGGAGACATAAAAGAAGCAAACAATGAAGACTAATTATTGCAATACTTAAGAATTCACTCTATAAAGGCCAGGGTTTAAATCACATGCTATTTTATCCAGCCTTTATAGGAATATGGGCTTTGGGTGTCCCCCTTCTTATTCTTAATGCAGAAGGCGTGTTTTGAGGATGATTCTGGCCTTGCAAGCTTCTTACAAGATGCACACACCCCCCCCAATCTGAAGCCCTCTCAGATGTGTTGGATTTCAGCCCAAATACCTCTCCACCCATCCCTATCCCAAGTTGTAAAACAGCGTGAATTGGCTATCCGGTTTAGCAGATTTTCTATGTCATGAAACAAGATACATGGTTAGTTACTACTGTATTTAATGAAAATAAATCATTAGCACCTTAATACATCATAATTACATTTTTAACTGTCACAAAGGGATCTGGTGTGCTTTTCTGTATTGGGTGCCAAAAAAAAAAAAAAATTCCAGCTTTTAAAAATCCATCCTTGACATAGTGAGGAAGTAGGAACACCCTTTGTAACTTTGCTCTAGGCAGCAACATTTCTCAAATTGGCCCACCCCTTCTCTCATAATAAGTATTACATTATATTATTCTTGCTGTATGGTACTGTATATTTTAATTCCGAGAGATTCAATGAAGCCTTCAGGCTTCTTCCTATATTCACCCTCGCAATAAATTTGCAAAGGACATTACTGAAAAGTTGCTAGATAGCTGTCTTCCAATACTGGAGGGTCGGTCACTGATCCTGTGGAGTATGGACTTCCAGGAGGGAGGGGCTGCATTCTAGAGGAGCAAGAGACCACTCAGTTCAGATAGTTTGTGTGAGAGAAAGAGGGTGAAGATGGCTCCTCCCTTCCCAGAGTATATGCTTTATGGGGATGTTAGCATGGTTTAGTTTAGCAAGATTCTGTCTATGGGCAAGGAACAATAAAGATATCTACTAGGAAGAACACAATGAGTCTCTCTTGGTTTTCTGAGCCCGCAACATGAGATTTTATGCACAGGTGGCTCTTTTATATACATCATATATTATTATTATTATTATTATTATTATTATTATTAATAATAATAATCGATATCTGTAATACCATCAAACATCCACATCTGTCTATCCCAGGTCCTGGGTAAGGACTCGATAGGTAGACAAAATGCCAAATCCAGTCAGAACATCTGGCTGACTGTGCGATGATCCATAATAATAATAATAAAGTTGGAAGGGACCTTGGAGGTCATCGAGTCCAACCCCCTGCTCAGGCAGGAACCCTACACCATTTCAGACAAATAGCTGTCAAGTCTCTTCTTAAAAACTTCCAGTGTTGGAGCATTCACCGTTTCTGGAGGCAGGTTGTTCCATTGGTTAATTGTTCTAACTGTCAGGAAGTTTCTCCTTAGTTCTAAGTTGCTTCTCTCCTTGATCAGTTTCCATCTGTTGCTTCTCGTCCTGCCTTCAGGTGCCTTGGAGAATAGCTTGACTCTCTCTTCTTTGTGGCAGCCCCTGAGATATTGGAACACTGCTATCATGTCACCCCTCGTCCTTCTCTTCATTAAACTAGACATACCCAATTCCAGCAACCGTTCCTTATATGTTTTAGCCTCCAGTCCCCTAATCATCTTTGTTGCTCTTCTCTGTACTCTTTCTAGAGTCTCAGCATCTTTTTTACATCGCAGTGACCAAAACTGGATGCAGTATTCCAAGTATGGCCTTACTAAGGCATTGTAAAGTGGTATTAATACTTCATGTGATCTTGATTCTATCCCTCTGTTAATGCAGCCCAGCACTGTGTTGGCTTTTTTGGCAGCTGCAGCACACGGCTGGCTCATATTTAAGTGATATAAAGCAGGAGAATCTATACTGTCTCAGACAGATGAATGTCTAGTCTCTTCTTAAACATCTCCAGTGATGGAGCACCCATGATTTCTGGAGGCAAGCTGTTCCACTGGTTGATTTGTCCTCACTGTCAGGAAGTTTCTCCTTAATTCCAGGTTGTTTCTCTCTTTGATCAGTTTCCAACCATTGTCTCTCGTCCTTCCCTCTGGTGCTTTGGTGAACAACCTGGCCCTGACCTAGGTTGACCTCTTCTTTGGGGCAGCCCCTCAGATACTGGAACACTGCTATCATATGTCTCCCCTACATATCTTCTTTTGTAAAACTGGCCCATCCCACCTTCAAGGAATAAGACACCCTTAGAAAAAGGCAAGCAAATCCACAACTGCATTTCAGAGGGCCCTAAGACATGAAATAGCTCAGCGGGAGAGTAATCAAGTACAAATGTTGTAAGATAGTTTACATCAAAAGTTGCAAGATAGGATTAGCACGGTTGGTTTATTCATTGGGCGAATTTGCACAAAATGCTAAGCCAGAATTTTTTTTTTAAACTTATGATTTATTGAACAAGCCATTAAGTGGCTTACTTTGCATCAGAAATGCATGTTAAATCCAAACAGGGGCTTGGTGTATCCTACTGTGCCAAAAACTTACACATTTGTTCCCAAGCCAAGAGATTCAAAGGCCTCTAAGTGGTAATTCTAAGGGATATATTTCCTTGAAATAGTAGGTGGATGCAAGCCAGGGCAAAAATGGGATTTCATTCATGACTGATTTCCTTTATATTGTAATCAGATTAGAATTATAAGCATGTTATTTTTCTTCAGTTGTGCATTTCAGAATTCTTCTCTTCTGTCACGTTAAATATTGCCATGAGGAATAATCCAACTTGTTCAGACATCACATACCCATCTAATATACCTCTTGGATTTGAAGAGGAATTAAGGGGGGGGGGGAGCAGAATTATAGAAAGGAAAACTGGCTTAGGAAAGATTATTGATCATCTCGGGCTTGTCCATCAACTTTTCAAGAGATGGCAGAAATAAAGAAAGCATGAAGTATCTCAAGAAATTATATTTCTCTGCCCCAATTTAGTGTTAAACCAAGAAATTTCCAGCAAGCATCCTGCCTCTGTGACAAGTAGGGTCTTCCTGGTTCAAACTCCAGAGATCTTGAATGTTCTTTCACAAATTATTGGCCTACATCTCTTTTTAATATGATTCTATAAACAAAGGAAGAATAATCTAAAATAAAGCTTTAAGAGCTGAAGGTCAGCTAAGCTTTTTGATTTTCAGAAATGGATTTGGGTTTGGGTTATACTGTATTTTCCCTCTTGTAATAATAAATCTCTACCGCTTCAAAAAACTCCAAGTCATCATCTTTTTGGTTGGTTTGGGGCCAGATTTATATGCTCTTCAGCTGGCGCCCTTTTCAATATTGTAAACATTATGCGTGCGGAAAACTCTTGCTTAATTATTCCTTTTCATTTTTATAGTGTCTGGCTGCTGCTTTATTATTTTGTACTTTTGTACCAAAGGTATTGATTGGTATGTTTGTTTTATTTCAAAAAAAAAACTTCGACTAACTGAGGACTGACCCAACCTACTTTGTGTGAGTTCGCGAGGTTTACGTCTCATATATCATTAATAGAACCAATGAAGAGAACGATGAAAAACAAGTAAAGTTGACCGACAAAGACTCTAAATCATCCATATATTATAAATAGAATTGCCAAAACTACACCAGTAAATTATTGATATGTCTCTTTGCTAATATCACATGCTGAAAAAGAACATGAAATGCACCTGTCGTTGACAAGAAAGAGTTGCAATAAAAAGCAAAAAAGAATGTTCCAATCAACTGAGAACCACACAATATTTGGGGATTTTTCATCCCATTATATTTGCCTCATTACCACCCAGTCTGCGGTTCCTCCCTGCCATAATGAAAGATTCTGTCAAGTTGAGTTCAACTCCTAGTTAAGGGCACGGACACAATATTCTGGTTTGCAAATGACTTTCTCAGGGATTTAACTTCCCAGCTCATTCTACAGTCCCTAGACAACTTCCATCCAATTACTTTTGTTTGGGTTAATAATTAAAGTTTTTAATAATTACAGGAAGTCCTCAACTTGCGATCACAACTGAGCCCAAAGTTTATGTTGCAAAGCAAGAACAATTGTTAAGTGAGTTTTGCTGCGCTTTACGACCTTTTTTGAGACAATTGTTAAGTGAATCACTGCAATTGTCAAGTCGGTTGCTAAGGGAATCTGCCTTCCCCATTGACCTTGCTTGTCAGAAGGTTGCTAAAGGTGATCACATGATCCTGGGAAATTTCCATAAATATAAGCCAGTTACC